CGGGAAGTTGTCCCGGGGGGGGGGGGGACGCGGAGCCGGAAGCGCAGCGCTGCGGGGCTCGAGATGGGATGCGATGGCGGCACTATCCCCAAGCGACACGAGCTGGTCAAGGGGCCCCGCAAAGTCGAGAAGGTGGGAGGGGGCTGCGGGAGGGCGGCGGGGAGCGCGGCCGGGGCTGTCAGATCCGCTGTGGGAGCCTGAGCCCTGACTGGGGCCCGCGGAGGCCTAGTCGGTTGTGCCCGGCCCGGGGTGCCTGCGAGGCCGGTCTGGCGCTCCTGGGGCTGGCAGCGCGGAGGAGAGCGCCTTTCTGCGCGGCCGTGGGCCGGTCTGTGTGTGTACTGCCGTTGGGTGACTGCAGCTGTGGCGTTAGTAGCAGTTGTAGTTTGGATCTGTCACTTTGCTGGACGTGTGTGGGGTTTAGGGGCCTCCTTCCCCTAGGGGTACAGTGTCTGCTGGTAGCACTTTTGGTGGATTGTTTAATAGCGTGGCCAGGCCGTTGTTGGTGTTGGATGTTGTCATTTCTTCAGTCTATCTGCAGAGCGTCTTTAAGTGTTCAAGGCCAGGTCTGGTGGAGCATTGAGCAACCTGGTCTAGTGGAGGGTGTCCCTGCCCGTGACAGAAGGGCTGGAACTTTAGAATCTTTAGAATCCCTTCCAACCCAAACCATTCTACAATTGTGTGTTTTAGGGTAATGGATATACAGTGGCATGACCTATGCGGGTGGTAGATAACGATCAGGAAAAATCTCATAGCAAATGGCAGAAAGCTTAGGCAAATTATACTTGCTAATGTAAAATAAGTAAATAAAATCCATTTCTCCCCCACACCTGACTGTCAGAGTAGCTGTGAACCTCAAGCTTTCTTTTATGGTCATAAAATTCATGGTTTTAGACTGGAGCTTCAGACACATCCCCGATTTGCTTTTCTCGTTATCTTATTTCTTACAGGTGGTGGAACTGGTAGTTGGCCAAAGTAGGCGTGAGATGCAAAACTAGAGAGAAGAGGGTAGTGGAGAACATGTGAAAAACAGAAAAAGAATAAAGAGGGAAGGGACAAGTGGAAGTGGCGAAAAAATAAGAAAACTGAGTTAGGAAGATAAGTCCCAAGATACATAAATATGTTTAACAGATAAAGATAAACCCTCAAATCTGGTCATGAATTTTGCTCAAGTTATTTTATGGAATAGTTTTGAATTCAGCTGCTAGGTTTGGTAAGATACTGCTTAATGCTTCAAGTATTTGCTTGATTTTATGGTTAAATAATTTGCAAATATAAAATCTATTTTAAAATCATGAGTATTTTTTTCCTTCAGGTTGACAAAAATGCTGAGTTGGTGGCAAGATGGTACTACTGTGCTTTGAGTCAAGAGAAATTACGTCGACCAATTGTAGCCTGTGAGCTAGGCAGGTATGAATGTTTCCATATAGGCTGCTATGTTAAAAGGTACTAATTTATTTATAAAGTTATGAGAATCAAATATGACTACTAAAAATTTTATATTACAGGTTGTATAATAAAGATGCTATCATTGAATATTTGTTGGACAAGTCAGCAGATAAAACTCCTATGGAAGCTGCATCCCATATCAAGAGCATTAAGGTAAACAGGTTGTGTCTAGTATTAAAGAATGGCAGGAAAATTAAAACATGCTACAAAACCTCAGTTTGCTTGTGTTCTCACTATAAACTAAAAGTGTTAAAAATAGTAAACCACGGGAAAAAAAAATCTTAGGGAATGTTATCATGGCTCAAAAATCATTAGTAAACTGCTTAAAGGTTGCTCTTTTATTTTTCAGAATGTAACAGAACTCAACCTTGCAGATAATCCAGCTTGGAGTGGTGACAAAGAGAGCATAAAAGGTGACAAATATGACGACATCCAGTCTGCACGCTTTATATGCCCCGTGGTGGGATTGGAAATGAATGGAAGACATAGGTCAGTAAGTTTCTGGGTTTTGTTTTTAGAAGTGAATGCTATGCTAAACTGAATAGAGAGCAGGTAAAAAAAATTTGTGTCTGTAATTTTGCAACTCACATACTGACTCAAGCCTTTGTGGAAAATATTTGTCCTCTGTTCAGAACGAAGGAGTTGAGGAGATTGTCCTTTCATTTCACATTCAAGAGGAAAGATAAAAAGCTAACCCACTCCTAAGTGAATTTCTATGTGTAACAAAGGATTAGAGGGCAATGTTAGCAGAGAAAAATTGACTAAAAGATGTTTGAGGGCTAAACCATGGGAGACTGGTGTAGGCAAACAGAGGGAAATTGGATGAGGTCTCCTTTTGTGCCACATCAAGTAATTCTACCTTTCCCTGTGTTAGGATCAGAATGGAGATGGATTGTATGTCTATTCTAATCTTGCAATAGTATCAATTTTTATACTGGGCTGAGGAAGGACATTTCTTTGCATCCTGGTTTGGGCGAATGAGCAATTTCTTTTTCTGTGCACGTTAACCCTCAGGAGTGAGGAGAGGCCGCGTTCACAGCTTGATAGTTGCGAAGTATTTCTTCCTCCAGAGGGTGATTAGCCAGGAGATATTCAGGTGGAATTAAAGAGAACCTGAAAAATAAACCCATTTTTACCAGAGCTACTGTAGTATTTTTTAGTTCAGTTGAGGGTGGTAGAGAAGAAAGGATTAACGGTAGCTCTTAGGAAAGGGTGATCACGTAAACTGTGTGCGTGATCACTTTGCACAGTCTTGCAAGAATCTTCCATGTGGAAAGGAGAGACATGGGAGAAGAGCCCTGGCAAGGGTCACTTGTGACAGCTTTGCTGGAGAGCTTGAGTCAGAGTAAGTGAAACCAATAACCTTGGTGGAATGTGGAACCACTGAAATAGTATAACTTTGAAGTAAAACAGAATATGGTGATGATTCCAGAGAAGCCTGCGTAGACCTATGGCAAATGTGCAAAAACATCTCAAGAGCTTCTGGTTTGCTGACATTTGCTTAAGAGATTGTAATAAGCCTATGCTGAATTATACGGAGGATTAAATAACAAAACATGTGTTGTGGTTTAACATATCAAATATTTTTCGTTTGATTCTTAGATTGTATAAGTTAATAAATGCCCTCTCAAAGATGCCAATGCTTTGATTAACTGCAAGAATTTGTAAACAGAAAGTTAACTGTGTCCTGCCAGCCCATTGCAGTGTTGTTTCTGTACTTCTGGTTTGCTAGCATTTGCTTAAGAGATTGTCATAAACCTATGCTGAATTATAGGGAGGATTAAATAACAAAACATGTGTTGTGGTTTAACATATCAAATATTTTTCGTTTGATTCTTAGATTGTATAAGTTAATAAATGCCCTCTCAAAGATGCCAATGCTTTGATTAACTGCAAGAATTTGTAAACAGAAAGTTAACTGTGTCCTGCCAGCCCATTGCAGTGTTGTTTCTGTGTTAAATCAAAACTGCACATATATCTTTTAGACACAGGGCTTCTTAAAAGCAATTGCATGTCTTTTCTTTGAAGGTTTTGCTTCTTGAGAAACTGTGGCTGTGTGTTCTCTGAACGTGCTCTCAAAGAAATTAAATCAGAAGTTTGTCACAAGGTGAGTTTTTCTTCAGCTTTAGTAGCAGTGGGGTCACATATGGGGGGACCTCCACAGGTGTTAAATCAAAACTGCACATATATCTTTTAGACACAGGGCTTCTTAAAAGCAATTGCATGTCTTTTCTTTGAAGGTTTTGCTTCTTGAGAAACTGTGGCTGTGTGTTCTCTGAACGTGCTCTCAAAGAAATTAAATCAGAAGTTTGTCACAAGGTGAGTTTTTCTTCAGCTTTAGTAGCAGTGGGGTCACATATGGGGGGACCTCCACTGATAGATACATAGATATAGGTACATATGTTTGTGTGTGTATACATATTTACATACAATTTCATTCACATCCACTATCATAAAGTGTTTTTTAATCTGAATATGCAAATTGAAGTGGTACTTGTAAAAGTTCTGTTTTATGATGGCCTGAAGTAATTTGGTATGGCCTTTTTAAATAAACACCTGTAGTTGTGAAAATGAATATTTTTGTTCTCATAGACAGTTTGATTTTGCAGTAAGTACTTTGTAAATTTCATTTTGTCAAATATTTGGTTATAATTTCAGTCTAAAAAGGGTGATTGTTTTTGTCTTGGGCTCTTGTGTGTTTGGTTTGGTTGGCTTTTTTCCCCAAATGCATGTGGTTTAAAGGGTGATTGTTTTTGTCTTAGGCTCTTGTGTGTTTGGTTTGGTTGGCTTTTTTCCCCAAATGCATGTGGTTTGTGTTTTATCAGTGTCTGCTCTGTGTATTTAAACTGAGTACATTTTCAGGTCATGTTTGATCTCTGTACTTTTAAAGGAAATTTGCTGTTGTCTGTTTTGGGGGGCAACTCTTCATAGAATCTTCAGCAATTATGTGAATTATTCTAGAAAATACTGGCTGCATTTCATTTTACAGTGCTGATTTGACATCATTATATTTGTTTCTGTATAGCTAGGGACAATGATAGAAGTTGCAAATAACTCTATTTTTTCCTATCACTACTTTTATTATCAGTGAGAGTTGTGATGATAGTTGCCACGTTCAGGCAGAGTTATTTTTCAGCAGACACCCTGATATTTGATAAAACGTGCAGTATATTTGCATTGAGCAAAACCTTTGAAGGAAAGGCTTTCTTCACAAGTTGTTGCAGGTGATGTGAAATGTTTTTAGTTAGATTTAGCCTCATATTGCTGCATTCAGTGCTAATTTTGTGCAATAGGATAACAATTTAGTCCTAATGGCTTTGCTTTCCTGATGGCAGATACTAATTTATTTTTAATGAGGTTTTTCGTTTGCGTCTAAATTTTTGTTGATAGATGGATGTAACTTGATTATTAAAGCCAGGAATGAGATGTTTTGTCCATGATTTGGACAGTGTGATAATCGTATAAAAACTAAATGAATCCCACATGTTTTCTGGATTTTTTTTTAATAATCAGTATTTATCATACCTTTATATTTGTATGCAGCAGGTTTCACATACATGTGAAGTGTTCACAGTTCAGAAGCATGCTTTTAGAAATAATGAAGGGGATTTAATAAACTAGTCTGTCATCTTTTCATTATCGGCTTTTGGTGCACCAAGGCAATGGTAACCAGCTGGTAGAATGTGTTTTAGTCCACATTTCCTTTGATTAAGGTCTAAGAGTGGTTTGGTAGATTTTTGGATATATACTGTGAACGTTATCAGTCTGTATTCAGAATCAAGGAGGGGACCAGAAATCTTCTAAATAGCATCATGGGGAACCAGTTGCCATGCGTTCTGGTAGCTAATAGTTTGTTTATATCCAAAGCATTAATTGGCAGCATTCCCCCAGCACTTTCTATCTTTATGCAGCAATGGAGTATATAGTAAAATGAACTAGATGTGTATTGTACATATGCTAGGATTAGAATTTTTTTTTTTAATAAATAGAATCCTCTTCTGATACATACTCTGACAAAATGCAAAAGACTGTTTGAATGTTTGAATATTGTGAATTGCATACATATGTTTCTACTGGGGCTAACTGCTGTATTTTAAGAATTACATGTTTTTTAAACCAAAATGTAACCTATGGGATTCATGTGGGTCACAACATGTTTCTTTTTCATGGCCTTGCCATCTTTTGCCTGTCAGTATGTGCCCAGATGTTGGCACTGTGTGTGCCGGCCACCCCCTTGAGACATTGTTATGTGACTTCAGGGAGTGTCATGGTAAGAGTAGCTCAAAAAGAATAATCCTGTATTTGCTTGTTTACACTGTGTATTCAGTCTCTTTCCAGCTAGCAGAATCTGTGCGTTCACTGTATCTCAGGGGATGCGTGGATGTAAACTGGAAAAGTGTTGATGTGGGAGTTGTGTGGCAGTTCGCTTCCCCACCACCCTGAAATTCAAGAAAGCTCTTTCAAAACAAGCTGTTCTTGTGTATTAATTTCGCCTCTGAGCCTACAGAGCAGTCTTGATAGTCTGCTAAATTGTAAACAGCAACGGTTTCCCACAGGACTTTGTCAAACAGATGCTGTAATGATGCATTGAAAGCATTCGCCAGAGAATACAGATATCCAGCAGCCCAAACAACAGTTCTGCAGTCCTCACTTTCCAGCTCATATAAACTAAATCTTCTGAACTGGTTAACGAACATGTATTTACATGCTACAAGATGCACATAACAAAATGTTGTGCTTCATGAAACCGTAGAAGATTTCTTTCCTGTGCTCAGAGCAGAGGATTGTTTCCTTTCCAGGCCTCCTGGCTTGGCTCGTGGATTACCACTTTGTGGAAGGTCCCACAGACAGTTGTCTCCCTGCTCAGTTTTCTTGTTTTGTTTTGGTTTGGTTTTTTTCTGTAGCAACTCATACCAGAAATAGAGCAATCTGTTTGCCCAGTGATATGCAGATCACAATATAATTGTTAGGGAAAAATTGAATGCGTATGTAGGTGTTTTCTCATTCAAGGAAATGGAGAACCCCCAGCATTGCTTGGTTTATCTCAATGGTGCTTGCTGTAGTACTAGATTTGAAAGGCTTTATGGACTCTAGGTACAGGGTGACTTCCTGTCAGTGTTCTCTTTCAAAAAACTGTATTTTGCCTCAATAGAAACTTTACGTGAAGAGATGACAATATTACCGCTTTTGGAGGATTAAGAATGGCCCCATTACCAGTTTTTAATGTTGACTCTCCTGTCTAAGAAATTATTGGTGTAATAGTCTGCTAGAGATAATTTGGAGACAGTATAGTGGTTATTGACTCTGGTGGAACTCCTTCTGGGAGTTCAGGTAGTCACTTTGGAAGATAAGGACAAGATTACATTTTAAAATGTAATTTCCTGTATCCCTTTAAAATATATTATGTGATTGTTTTCAGACTCAACAGACTCTAATAGTTAGGGTATTATTTCATGTCTGTTTTAAAGTCTGTGCCATATAAAACACTTAATCAAATGTTTAACTTAGATACAGAGCTATTGAGTATGTGCCTTGGGCTTTTTGAAACAGAAATTATGTGTATGTCTTTCGGATAGAGCCTTTATGTGTGGGCAGTGTGCTATAGAGCACAGTGTTTCCTTGAACGAGGTCACATTGACATCTAATGCTCTTAGATCAACAGTCACCAAAAGTTAGTAAATATTGGTTGCTAAGATCTGAAAGTTGTGATCAATCTACTCATAACATGATAACGCATATAGAACCTAACACTTGTGATGTATGTTTAAATGTTCTCAGTTTTCACAGTTTTATTACTTAATTTTTTACTGTTGTTAGAAGTAAAAAGTCTTTCAAGAACAGAATGTAGTTATGGTCACTCGGAATAATAAGTAGAATACTGCTTCTTAATGATTGAGAATGGGGTGGTTTAACTATGATTTTTCTGGGAGTTTTACGTATGTTTACGTATGTTCGTTTAAAATTCAAAATCCTTCAAGGAAGGAGGATCATGCTCCAGTGCTTTTCCTGGATTAACATGGGTAAAGTCATACCTGAATTATATTTTCAAAGAGGGTTTTGTGCAGATTTTTTTCCCCCAGTTTGACTGGTTCAAACAAACCCATGTTCTATAGAACCCTGCTATTGAATTTATCCTTTTAATTCAATTCAGAAGTGAGACATAATTGTTCTGTGTAATGGTGACAAAAGGCGAAAGGTAGATAATGGATTTGCTGCAGTGATGGTAATGAGGAATGTTCCATTCACGTTGTAAAGGACAACAGAGAGTGGATAAATGCTGGCAGTGCCCTGCAGTGGACTGGGTGTGGCTAGGAGAGAAATTAATTATGAATATTGCTATGATTAATACATGCCAGAGACCCATTAGCTTCAGTAATGGTTTTCAGAGTGACTCTCGACAAGCTCATTGTGAACATACTGCATGGCTTTTATTATTTTTTTTTTCCTTTTCTTTATTTCTCTCCATAAAAAAGCCATCCCCAGCAATATTTATCCACAAGTTCTGGATTAGACATGAAACTGAGTACAGCCCTTTGGGTGAGTTTGTAATTTCTGTAAATAAATAGGGACCAGATGGTCCTTCTTTAGGTTAAAGTTCATTTGAAAGAAATTACGTTTCCAAGAAACTCGTGTGGGAAAATGAGCAGTACAGTTCCAGGAACCTGGGAATAAGTTTGTAATAAGAAATACATTCTATTGTTAGGTCATATGTTGATTCATTAGAATTTTTTTGGAAAAAACACTTAATCCATAAGTGAGTTTTCCTGTAAAAACTGAGTGATATTTTGAGCGCATATTGAAGCTCACATCTAAACTGAGATTGTTCCTAGACATTTATTTATAATTTGTAGTTTCTGATCAAGTGAGTTTGTAAGTAACAGGACATATTTATTAGTTCCCATCAGAGTTTGTGCAAAACAATTGGGAGTTTATTTGGATTTACTGGAATGAAACTTTAATTTGCGTTCTTGCCAAAATACTTACAAGAGAGGATGAGCAATTTGAAATTACTTCTCACAGTTCGGGTTAACAGAGGATGAACAATTTGAAATTACTTCTCACAGTTCGGGTTTCTCCTAGTCTTTTCTGCCAGTAGCACCTAACTAAAGGCCTTTGGAGACGGGGGTAGAGGTTTAATGCCGTGGAAGAGTTGTCATATTGTATGAAAGGCCACCAAATATATCCTCTCCGTTTCCCCATATTCCCCTGATCTTTTTCATTGCACAAGTGAAGGTATTAATTTAAAAATCTGTATGAGGAAAGAGCAACTCTTGCCTGGAAAAGGGCTGGATCCTTGTTATTTTTTCATTACTGTTCCCTGGTTTTGCCTGTGTTGTGTGTTCAAAGCCACTTCCTCGATTTAGACCAGCGAGTGCTGTGTTTGGTCTGCAGAGGGATTGGGCAATGAGATGCTTGTCCTGGTTGCTACCAGGGGTTTTCTCCAATTGCTGCAGACCGTTGCAAGGTTCAGGGAGGTTTTGTTTTCCCTCGCTCAGGTACACTGGGATTGAAAGATGGCTTTTCACTCAGTTTTCCTTTGTTCCCTGGCCTCAAATTTCCCCATCTCCTTGCCCTAACATGCTGCAGAGACCCACAAACAGGGACTTGAAGGTAAACATGCATTGCAGGACCCCCACCCTCTTCACACACCCTCTTCATTAGGAGCAAAGCCTGAGTAGTGCAAGGGTGAGATTGCCAGGCTACACAATGAAATGAGAGATACAGCTGGCCAGGGGGGATAAAAGCCACCAACAGTGAAATGGACTGTGTCTGAAACTGGTTGTCACTCTCGTATCTACAAGCTCTGAAATTTTAGCATGAACTTCATTATTCAAAATAATAAGACATACAGTAGACATGACATTTACTTGTGCTCTTTGTATTTTATCTTTGTTCAGTCATTGCTTCCATTTTGTTATTTTCATACCAGTTAGTCCTTTTGTTGGCTGCAGACATGAAGAATATGTAGTTTTCCAGTTAAATAAGTCACTTTAAGAACTTCCTTGTCTTCACTAAGCTAGAGATTTAGACATGTAATTTTCTTCAAAAATTAACAAATTAGCAGTTGTTGCTCTTTATCTTCCTGTAATAAATAAAAACTGTTTATTTCACTGGCAGACTGGTAGTACAGTATTGTGCTTACCCTCATGCTGTAACGCACAGACTGAAGTCTATGGCTAAGGATGTTAATGGTTTCTGTCAGTATTTGGAACACTTGTTTAGATGTTAGTTAAGCTCAAACATTCAGCTTCATGTTGAAATGGCTCTCTTCCTGGAAACGCCAGTGATCTTCGATGGGGACTTCTGCCTGGTGCAGCACTTTCAGCCGGTAGCGTCTCTCCAGGCAGTCCATAACGAGTGGGTATGTCGCTGGCTCGAACTTGTTGGCAAACAAATGAGGTGACTCAATAATCCACTGCAAATCCCCTAGTCCATAGATGCAAATATCTCTGATGTAATGACCTGTAAAGAGAAATTGAAGATATCTGAAAAAAGCAAGTAAACTGAAAAGAATCAATTCATCAATTCTTTACTAAGTCAGTACGCTTACATATTCTGGGGTTTTTGGTATGCTTTCCCCAGTCAGCACTATTCTTCTTTTTTATTAATGTTCAAATTGAAGAGATTTAACCCAGTGCTGATGAAAGCATCTGACAAATGTGCTTGTCAAGTAAACCCTCTACTCCACTGAAAACTGATCAGTCAAGTTAATGCATTGGTAACTGGAGGTTGAAAGAACAGTTGTCAGTATATGGATACTGTGACCATCTCTGCGAGATACATCAGAACCTATTTAGATTGGATACAGTGGAGTAATTTAGTAGGGTGGCTTGGTGTTTTAATTGATACTTCCAAAATAAAATATATATGACCACTGAGGCACATTTAATAGCTAGTTTAAAGCATAATACGTAATAATGCAATGAATGGTAGTCAGTGAATCAAATTTGAGTTCCGTTATCAAGATTCATGTTACCTTTGCAGCCTTTGTGTGTGGTTCCTTCTTGATCTTTCCATTTAATGGCTCGTATGTTTCCTTCCCAGTCTGCATTGGGTGTAGCCCCTGGAGCATCTTTAAAAACATATGGTTCTGATAAGACTTCTTTCTACTTATTACAGGGAAGATTTTCACTGCTGAAGACTTTTTAAATGTAGCCACGTTAAGTATTTGTTTACAGATATTTTCATCATAAGAACAGATATTTTACTGCTTTTTTTTTTTTCCTTGAGAGCATGAGCATAAATCTTTTAATCAGTCTTTTTCTAGCCTTGTAGCTAATGGTCTGCACTAAAAGTAGTACTTTTCTGGAACCAAGCTTTGTTTCTTAGCTATCAGGAGATGTGACTTTTTGAAAGAGCAGCATCAAGGCTGAAGAAATCACCGTAGCTCAGTTAAGTGGTGGTTTTAAGCTCTGAATGGGAACTCACTAGCTCTCTGCAATGCAGCTCAGTTAAGTGGTGGTGTTAAGCTCTGAATGGGAACTCACTAGCTCTCTGTGCCAGAGACCTTACAATGCTGTTGGTCCAGGAGTTACTCATAACAGAAATAACATATATCTTACCATTTAAACGATTCAGCGTGACCCAGTAGTGTTCATCCGGACTGTATGTATCTCTTGACCATTCAAGCAAATCTTTTGCACGTGCATCAGTCAGTGTAAACTCTACAAATTTTTTAGTGAGTATGTAATAGGCACTACCAAAATAGATGGTCAAGTTATGTGGAGGCTTAGCTTTCATATTCTTTGTTGGATACACGTAAGACATTCCAGACCGTACATACTCTCTGTAACTAACCTGCGTCCTGTGTTTCATATGAAGTGGTTGGACTACCCCAGGAGTCATATTTTTACCATTCCATTTACTTTTGATGTATTGTATAATCTCTCTGTTTGTTTTAATGGGATAATCTTGACCACAGAGATTAATAACATAATTCCATTGAATTTTGGAATGAACTAGATCTCTCATGCAATTAATATCAGCTTGCAATCTTGAAAATCCTGCATAAACAACATTTTCTCTTTTTGAGGAAATAAAAATATTTTCAAAGCAATTAACGATGTTTTGTACAGCAGCTTTATAATATTTTGGTGACTTTTCATCAACATGGATGCAGTAAATATTCTGAGGCATGTAAATAGCTCTTAGCAGCTTTACAAACATTTCCAACTCCTTGTGAATTGTGATGATGTATGCCAATGAGAAATTTCCTTCTTCATCTGACAGTGGCCTTGTGATAAAATGCAGTGTCTTCAAAACCATGGAGCAGTTGCAGGGAGTCTGAATGCAGCTGAGTGGTTTAGGTTGGTAGGAATTCTGACAAAATTTCCCGATTTTAAAGGCAGCGGTTTTACCCACAAAAAGAGCTGAACAAAGTTCATCTGGGTAAAAGCCACACTCTGCTATGTTTGCATTAAATTTTTGTTGGTTTGACTCTTCAGAAAGGGTATCCTTTAGGTAGATAAAGGTGTAGATGAACATACAGACAGCAATGCACACTAAAAATCCTGATTTTGTTGCATCAAGTGGGTTCATCTTTCAATTTCCAGATAGTGTCTTCTCATCATAGTTTATTTAAGCGTTCAGGTTATCTGAAAGGAAAAGTGAGATAAAGAGAGGGAGAGAACCTTTTTGACTTTTTTTAATAGGTGACATGTTAGTGATGCATTTATAAACATTGAGATTACTCTATTTCCAGTTACTTGTGTGGGCCCCTGCACGTGCTGGTGCTGCAGCGTACTCAGCTACTGGAAATGGTACTTGCAGAGCCATGAAGTGGCTTTTCTAAGACAAACAAAATTATCCAAAGAACCCAAAATGGCTTTCTGCACTTCATTACTTGAGCAAGGGAGGTCCTCGCCCATCAGATACAACTTTCTTCTACTTTGAGGCAGTGTGTTTGCCAGTAGGTGAGTAGGATGGTCAAGGTCGAGGTCTGGGGAAGGCGTGTGAGCCGTGAGCACCGTGTGCTGAGGGACGGCTCCTGCTGAGGTTTCCTTAAGGCCTGGGAAACCTTAAGTTCTGCCGGAATTCAGTAAATTAAATCAGCAGAATATTTATTAAATAAACAAAAGGAAGAAACTAAAACGTAATCCACAAAATACACCATTTTTTATCCTTATAAAGTCAGCAAATGTTTCTGAGACTTTTTTTTTTTTTTTTTTTTTCCTCTGACATCTTTGTACTAGTGCTTTGGAAAACAGGACATGCAGACAACACTCCTTATTTTTAGCATGTGTGCGTATCCGGAGATAAGTACACTACTGCCAGTATTAGCAGTCAGAGATAACTGTGTAATTTACATTACTATTGGCGTAGGAGTTTTTCCATTGTGATTTTTTTCTTACATATGCCTTGTTGAAAAGTCAGAAGAAGGAGAGTGCAGCAGTCCTGAATCCCACAGCAATTACATGAAGCATTTGGTATAGACCTTCCTAGAGAAAATTCCAGGGTTGGGGAGAGAGTCCATCAGCTGCCATTAAGCTTAATAGTTAAATTAATATTTTTAAATTTTATTTTCAAGATAATTAATTTTCTCTTATTTTATTCAATGAATTTGTTTTTAACAAAATTTGTATTTCACCTGTAAATATTTCATGCTTTGCAGCTGTCAACATCACAACGTATTTGTTATTACATAGGAACAGAGAACAAGCATATTTTTATAAAGATAATTTCTTTATAGGAATATAATTGTGGTTAAAAGGCTCTATGTTTTCATTAGAAGTGAAAAATACTTTCTTAATGGAAACTCTGCATACATCTGCCTTAGAAGCTTGAAAATAAAGGGCGCGATGTAGTTAAAGTGGAAACAAGACATAGAATTTAAAAAGCATTAAAAATACAGAATTTTAACTAAGATAATGGAGACACTGTAATATCACAATTTTAAGATCTTATTAGGCTGTTGGGAAAGAATGTATTTATCTTATTGTCCTTACTGGTATGCACTGGGTTTCATGCTGGAAGAATGCCTCTTTTCCACTTAGTATTCCAGACAGCAGAGTTGTAGGTTAGGTGGAGGGTTCATCCATTTTGCTGCGGTGTTTAGTCAGTGTGCTCCTCGGTCTGCCTCGAATGCACAGGCCAAAGAAAAAAATCATTAGGAAATCAGGTCCCAAAAGAGTATTATATTTTTTTCTTCACGTCTCCTAAGGGATACATCTACTGGGTAAACAAGCTTTGATGTGAGTCTTTGAACGCAAAACTTCAGGAAATCAAATCCGCGCCAACCTTTCAATATTGTGCAGAAAGGAGGAGAAAAGGAACGCTGAAAGGTGAAAGCCAGGCTTTTCAGAGTAAAAATAAAACACACAAGGACTGTAGCCTGCTACCAGCTGACGCCCAGAGCAGAGAGAAGATTTGCATAAGGGCTACATGTATCGGTAGCAGAAGTTAGAGAGAGGGAGGGTCTGTTAGAGAAGCACTCGTTTTTGCAGACCTGGAGGCAGAAAACCTGTTTCATTCTGAGTGAATAGTTACAGGAGAAGCATTGAGGGTTCTCCTAATTAGTGAACGTGATGGGGTCTCTATGGTAGATGACACAGAAGGTTCACTCTGGACATCAGAAATACACTGAAGACAATTGTAGAAATACTTGGGACTTTATACCCACTTGGAATACAGAACATATGTACAGGATGAGCACACTCGTCAGGTTTTTTTCATTAAATGCATCTTTGTGGACAGGTTGCAAAGGATAGTTCCCTAGGGAACGAAGCTATAATCTGTTTGTTTCATACACTTAAATTTTTATTACCCTTCAAATAATAGCTTCCAGGGGTGCTTCAGGTTGTTAAGGGTTTAGTATGGATTTTTCCTATTGAATTTTGTGGCATCTAGAAACTGTATTTTATGTGCCAGCATAAAAGTACACAAACGCCCCATTATCAGGTGAAAAGAAACAATTTCTTCTCCAGTGTTAACATGTTTCTGGAGAATGACTAAATGATGAAGCCTTGCCTACAAGAACAGAATTTGACATCTTTTAGCCTTAGGGTATATTATAGAATGAAAGCATTGGCTTTCTGCTAGCGTTTTAACCGATTTAGAGCTACAATTGCAGCTGTTAGTCCCATCGTGTATGAAATTTGCTGCTTAGAAGAATCCTTTAGCCCCTGTGCTATTGTCTGCTGTCAAGGACTATGCTACCGAATTCCTTCCTGCCCTTGAAGAGCAAGATGTCAGGCTGGTGAGAAGATCCTCTGTCCAGGCATAACCCTATGCCTATCTTGCCTTTAGTTTCATTATGAGTGCCATTCTAGATATTTGTTACAGAATGTCTCTCTGAAACTCAACCTTTTCTGTGTTACAGATAGGTTTTCTAAATCTGGTGGATAGTGTCTTAATTTTTAGAAGTGCCAAGAGCGGTGTTTGACATTGTTCAAAAAGCAACTTATTTGTAGGGATTTTCAAGCACCTTCGTGGCTGCTTTTATGGATGTTATTTAACAGACAATCGCTGTAAGCCTAAGCTCCTCCATCCCAATTAAAAAGGTAAACTCTAGAGAATAAAGTGGAATTATGTTTATGCCTGAAAATAAGCCTGTGAAATATCATCTGAGCTCATCAAGACCCCATTAACTGTATGCTTTGCTGTGCATTTCCTAGTAACAAATCATTTTACAAGTCACTGTTTCTTCCTACCATAAGATTCTGGACTGCATCATTGCATCTCGAAATATTCTATTCTGTCTGTACTCTCTGTGTTTACTTAATACTAACATTTAGATAAAATTTAGTTCGTGTGACTTCATAATTCAGTGAAGCAAATGAATACTTCATCTTCTAATAAAATGGTTAAAAGGCATTAACTCCTTATTTCTAAATGTTTTTATCTGTTTTTTGTCTGAAAGGTGTTTATGCAGGCATTACCGTAGACATTTTATAAGCAAGTTAATACTGTTCAGTCCTCTAAAAACCTAATGTAAAAATTAGTGCTTTTAATTGCTTTTTCCTTTCCGCTTAAGCCTGAGGTAAATACGCCGAATCTGCTTCTGTGTTGACATGCATCAAGTAAAAGAAAAAAATTCTTCATCAAGCTCAACTAAAATTGCCTTAGACATTGGAGAGCATTCTTACTTTAAAATATTGCATCAGGATTTAAACAGATTTATGGAGGTTTACCTGTTCATCTTTGCTATTTTTTTCTGGTTTCCTGGTTGGGTTTTTTCCTTGTGTAGTGTATTTGACCTCCTAACAATTCAAAGCAAATACTATGAAAGCTATTTAAACTTTTAATTTTTTTACAGCCCTATAAGGCTTGCAACAGAGCATAAAAAGTATTTGTAAATGTTGATTTTTATGATACAAATACCACTAGTAGTTGTGACCTCCGTCCTGCTGTAAATCTATCACAAAGTTTAAAAAAACCAAACCAAACCCCCAAAACCTATTACCCTTATTGCAGATTTTAAAGTGAAATGGTCTTTCTGAAGTGAAATATTTGTCACTTTCCAAAGATTAAAACCAGTTGTGTTTCAATAAAGGAAAAACACAGACCTGAAGTCCTACAATCTAATTTATTCAGTCTTACCTTGTACAAAATTAGCCAGGAGACGGCAGCATAATAAAAATAAATAGGGAGTCTCATCGTCCTTCAGCAGGATTCAGGCAGCATTCTTCATTCTGTCGCTTGTGGAGAAATCTGGCGTAAGTGAAAGGGGTTAAACATTAACATGACTGTTTTCATTTGAGAGTTCATCTGACTTCCCGCAATGCTTAGCATATTTATTCTGCAGTAATGCTGTTTAGCTTCACAAATGTCCTCTGCTTCACAATAATGAGAGGAAACTTGAGCTTCTCCAAATCTCTATTTCTACTCTTTCCGAGACAGCCTTTAAAGGGCTGAAATCACTTTCAGATATGTTTGCTGATGATTATAAATAGTATTGCTTTACCTCTGAGGCTTTAACAGAGCGTGCTGCATGATCAGAACTGGAAAGGACGGGAACCCTCTCCTCCTCCTTCTCCTCCTCCTCCTCCCCCTCCTCCCTTAACTGTTTGCCTGCTGAAACTTTCCAATTTGCCACAAAAAATGTACAGCGAGGAATTGCCTCTGGTCATTTCTAGTAGCTAGAAGCTTAGAAGATAATAAATGAAATGTCTCCTTCCAAAACAGAATGTTTACTGTGTTACTAGTTTTATAAAGGTTCTTGGGATTTTTAATAATTGAAAAATTAACAGTTTTGGTTTCTTGGAATTGGCAAACTTTGTGATTCTAGAAACAAGTAGGAAGGCTGGTGTATTTTTGCACATGTTCAGATAAAAATAGCATAGTGGTCAGAAATAAATGGAAAACCTCAAAGTAAATGTAGGCACAGCAGCAGGTATAGCAGATACAAAATTATCATTGACTTGAAGGGAAGCTCTGTAAACACAAGCTTCTGCTTGGACAGTATTTTTATAGTAGGTGCTACAGCTGCTGAGTGAAAGTTCGCATTCTGTGAATTGGTATGTAGGAAACTTTCCACTCTTCCCAAGTTACCATTTACTCTTTGCCCCAGGGTAGGTCCAAGTAGGGTATCGATGTCAAAAATTGTCTTAATCCGATTTTACACTACTGATCTACTAATGACTAAACCTCTGGATTAATATGTTTTTTGTTAACTGTTCCGAGAGACAGTAATCTTTAATACGTGAGCTTCTGTGGCTGGTAAATGAACAGTGATACGGTCCTTGGTTGAATAGGATCAATATTCAACATGAATAGGCCTTCAATCCTCTTTCTAAATATTATCCAGCTTAAAGAGGGACAGTCAGGTTGTGGTCATACATCTTCCATAATCTGGTGGGAATTGTTTTGGAAAAGTATTCATGCCTTGATGCATTTTCTAGCAATGGGCATATTTAGGAGGTAACTTACTGCTTATAATTTGGAAAAGAGTTTTCAGGTTTTGCATAAGACATTAAACTATAGCATTGATGTAACCATTTAGCTATGAAAACATATTTGCCTGTTGTTTATTTGTATATATTTAGGCTGGAGTAGTCATGGATGGAACTACATCTTAGATGCTGTACAAAAAAAAATAGCTGTCAAAAGTAGTTTACGGCAAGAAATAAGGTACAAGCATTGTGTTGTAGCTGAAACTTAAAAAGAAACCATGAACTTTAGAATTCAGGAGATTTCATTATTACAAAAGAAAAGTTCTTTTATTTTCTTAGAAAGATAAAAGACTATTCTACCATATTAAAATTACTTGAAATTTAAAAGGTCTTCATTATTTAAAAAAATAATTTGCTAATTTTTTTATGAGTTTAAGTTTTAAAGGTTATATTTATGCCTAAGCTAACATGTCTTTTACAGCTCATAATAATACCTTTATTGTTATTAGAATTTTAAATCTTTCGGTTGGTATTGGTTGGTTTTTTTTGTAAAGTTGATTTTTGTGTGTGTATATGTTTGTATATACACATGGGATATGTAGGGTATGTAAATTTATGAGTATCAGGCTTTGAAGACTTTTTGATCATATCTGTGCACCCTGTAAATAGTTCCTTGATGCAAGCATCGTAAGCCATTTAGATATAAACAATTTTGAACATGATTTTATAATTGGACCCTGAAAGGGCTTTTTAGATGGAAATCATGTTACAGATTGAATCTTGCATTAAGATCTCCAAGCTGCTCTTCTAATGCTTTTGCCCATTACGGTTCAGTCTCATTTAGGAACGTCTTCTGTTCCTACAGAATAGTGTTCAAGTTCAGTCTCATTTAGGAACGTCTTCTGTTCAAGGTGCTGCAAAAAATCAAGGAACTACAGCAAGTACCTTCATATATATTTAAAGTCCCAATGTGAACAAGGTACAGCAAGGGAGACCCTGGGATATGATAAAAAAAAAAAAAAATGCCTGCCCAGAAGACCTTAATCTGAAGGAACAATCTTTTCTGAATTTGCAAAAGTGAAATTTCTTTCTGCTTTTATCCTAGCATTTCAAATCATTGAGATAAAAATAGTGAGTTTTTGGAAAAAAAAAATCAAAATTAAAGCTTTGCATCCAACAGTACCGACAATTAAAGAATGGTTGATGCATATATAACGCCTGCCCCAGAAGACCTTAATCTGAAGGAACAATCCTTCTGAATTTGCAAAAGTGAAATTTCTTTCTGCTTTTATCCTAGCATTTCAAATCATTGAGATAAAAATAGTGAGTTTTTGGAAAAAAAAAATCAAAATTAAAGCTTTGCATCCAACAGTACCGACAATTAAAGAATGGTTGATGCATATATATGATGCAACAACAGATTGTACCCATTGGAGTTAATGAAACCTGGGAAGGTGGAGTTGGTTCTATGCCTATAACTTGCTGTACTTAAACTATGTTTAGAAGGGTTTGGTCTCTGTAATATAATCTGACTGTTGTCACCGCAAAAAACTGTTTCTGTGAACAGAAAGTGGACACTGTCATTATTTCCCTGTTTCTTGTAAACACTTTCCAGTTTAGAACAGTTCCACCTGTGTTTTCCAGATGGGAACCTGGATTTTCTTGCTTTTTGAAAAGGCAACGTTTCCTGAAATTAGAGTCTTTGGGCATAAACTTGTACTTGGAGGAAATTTCCACTTATTTTTATATGCTTAACAGAGTATGTTTTAAAAAAATTGTTGCAGAAATCACTTTTTAAATCACTAGCCTGTAGGAGGGTGGCAGTCTTTCATGCTGTATTCGGAAAACACCCCACTTTTTTTCAGAAAAGCCCCCCCGCCACGAATATGTAGGGCTGCTTTGGAATCACAACAGCTGCCGGTTGCTCCTGCCTCAGTAGAAAAACTGATTGTCCATCTTGATTTTCTAGACTTCTCACTCGCAAGTGGCTGAGATCATCCCGAGCTGGTATTTCTAACACTAGCTCATTGAGTAGCAATGGAAAAATTTGGGCTACTCACCCATTTCTTGTGTGTGACTTATTATTCTGCCTGACCTAACATGCATCTCTATAACCCTTGCTGTTTCTTCGTAACATTTCTGACCACTTGTGATCAGATTTATTTTTTTAAACCGTGTTTGTCGCTTGAGCAGACTGTAGTCAAAGTACTGTCCATATGTCCTTTCATTTAATTCTTACTGCAAATGCATGAGTAACCTTTATAAAGCTTTGTTTAGAAAACAGAAGAGTAATGACAAAGGCAGGATTATAAACTAATCTTGCAGATTAACAGGAAGCTTCTGGATTTAACAAAATAACAAAAAAAAAAATAGAAATTGAGATCTTATAAAAGAAAACATCATGGTCAATGTGCTGGCTTCACCACAGGATTGAAAATGTGTACAGTGAAACGTGTATGTCTTCAGCCAGAACACAAATGTGGAATTACATGAAGCACCTCACATGCATTATCCAGATTACTTTATAAATGTACTTTGAAACTTCATAGTGTTTAGTAACTCAGACCAAGGACGAGAAGGCAAGGCTGGGTTAATGAATAGTGCTGCTTTTGTAACCCCTTTTAATCCCTGTAGAAATTTTAACAATAATTTAAAAAGAAAAAGAAAACAACCAAAAGAAAGCAAGTTTTCCTGTCTTACTGTTGGGGAGAAAAATTCCCTGGTGCTGTTTGTTCTACACGTAAAGGAATGACACCTTTGGTGGTGGTCCCAGTCAGTGTAAAGGAACTGCTCCTATCAGTTCTTGTTTCTTGTACTACTAAATTGAAAGACAAATTCTAGAGCAGAGTAGCATAATGCTTAGATTTTAATCAAATACATTTATAACTAAAAACAAAACAAACCCTAGGAAGTACCTCAGTGTTCTGGTTTTTAGCTATGGGGTTCAGAAAATTGAGTAGACTCTACTGCTTTGTTTAATCTCGTCCTTGTACATTTTATGCTAGTAAAAAAAAGGAACAGGAAATGCACAATGGGACCTTTTCTTTAAAGAAAAAAAATCATTGAGTGCTTTTTATAAGAGACTGGTAGTTAAATAAATATGCAATTTCCGTTGCCCTATTGCATGGAATAGGGCTTTGAAGAACAAAATAGTTTTGTATTTCTGAGATTCTTTTATCATTTGCTGTGCAGATTGATATGGAAGCTGCTTTTAAATGCAGTTATCATAAGTTCACAATTCACTAGTAAGATGAGTATTTATTCTCCTTTTTGTAAAGAGGGAAGCTGTCAGTCAGCATTGTTTTGCTTAGTGGTAATAACAGCGCGGATTTTCCCTTTGACATTTTAGGTGAGAAGATGTATTAGACTGAATTAAAAGAGAAGGAGCTATTGGAAAAGACACAGCGGCAAGGGCAAGGATTGGAGAGCTCCTTGAAGAGCTTAAAAACAACACTAACAGAGGTTCAACAGCATAAAGATCTTGAAGAAAATAATACTAGTTAAATCTGTCTTTTTTTTTTTTTTCTTGAAGTGTGGTGTTCCCTTTCAAGAGGAAGATGTGATCATCCTTAACGGTAATAAAGAAGATGTGGAAGTATTGAAGAAAAGAATGGAAGAGAGAAGACTTAAAAGTAAATTAGAAAAGGTAATCTTTTCATACATTGTTTAAAACAAAATTGAAATAATTACTGTCTGTAATGCCATCTGCTCTTAGATTACATAGTTTTGCCTGCTAATCTTTATGTAGACTGGAGAATTCACTCAGTAGCTGTATAGTACTTTAGTGCTTGTTTTAAAAGTAATAAGGTTGTGCATGTTTTGCTAATAGCATATTGAACTTCATATATGTACTGAAACTTTCTTTTGACTAGCAGGCAGTGCCTAGTGCTCTGAAAATCACAGAATTCAATGCTGTGTGTAAAACAGACAGTGTGCCAGCTATACTTTAGGTTTTTCTTGAAACAAAGAGTTTGTATTAGTTAATTCTAGTAATGAGCAAAATCTTCCCTGTATTTCATATGGTCATTCCCACTGGTAGGTTACTAGTTTTTTGGTATCTGAGTATCCTCTACTGGCTACTGTTGGAAACACAATATTGGGATACGGAGATTCCTGGTCTGATTCTGTAAAACCACTCTTTGGAAATTTTGTCATGTTTTGTGGTTTTTACAGTCCTGAGTGATTACTGCCGATGCCAATTCCTGCCATACTGGTGAGGTCTTTGTGTTTATTTATTTATTTTAATCTGGCTAGGCAAAATACCATGGAAATAGAGTCGTTGTTTATTTATTTATTTTAATCTGACTAGGCAAAATACCATGGAAATAGAGTCGTTGCAGCTCTACTATATATTCTACTGTGTCCTGCTACTCTGCGCAGTAGTAGTAGTCCTGTGGTACTGTCCCATCAACTGACAGTTCTGCACATGGGACTTTTTTCAGCATTGGCATTTTTTTCTGAAGTGGCATTGCTATTCTGGAGGATGAGAAAGCAAGCAAAAACTTCAGTGTTGACTTGGTCCAGAGCGCAGACAGATTTAGTTGGATTTTGAGAGCGTGAATCCTCACTGTCTGACACTTTCAGCAACTGAGACTTTAGATGGAGGTTGATCATCTCACCCCTGTTACTGCGCTTGATTTCTGTCTGGCTGTAGGATTAGAGGGCATACAAATGTTTTCCTACATTCTTTTGAAACAAATATTTGTTTACTTACCAGTGAGGGTATGATTCCTTTTCATCATAGTGTCTTTACCCATCTGCACCAATACAGCACTGTTGGACCTGGGCAATAAAAGGATGGTTACCCATAGAAATCCTACTGTTCTCTTTCCTCCCTGTTCATGGCCTCTGCACTTTAGTATCCTGTAGCTCCTGGTGCAAGAGCAATACTGGAAATCTTATGCTGTCTCTTTAGATGTTTGAGGTTTTTTTCTTTCTTTTTGTAATTAAATGTTTGAAAGAATTTCAAAGATAATTTGATGATAGAATATTTGAGGTCTCTGTAGGTGGGCAATCAGTCCCAAAAATGGTGGTCGTTTGTGCTCAATTTTCAGTAAGGAGGTGGCCCTAGCAAAGCATCTATAGATGTAGTTGAAATACTTTGGAATAGTCTAAAGCTGGTGCTGTTCCCAACTTCTGTGCAATCAGAGGTACCGCAGTGTGCTGAGCACTTCTGTCTGTTGTGGTGTCACCACAGTCACTCGTGGTGGCAGACAGAAGGAAATCATGCCTTGGACTTTGGGCTCTGTATGCCCTAGGTGGATATGTAAATATTTTTTGTTTCTTTGGTGGAGGCTTATATTACAGGCAGGTACAGTATTTGCACATCTCTCAGTAGGGCTCTTATATTTCATCCTCAAGTTCTGATGGTTTTTTGCAATGCTGCCTTGCCTTGCTGCACCAGCTGATGTTTTTGCAGCTAGAACTAGTCTGCTCTACTGTCCCTGACATAGTTGGCTCTCACCTGATATCTGTGAGCTCCAGTCCACGGTTATCAGAAGACAGTTCCTCTTTTGGGGTCTGTCGGCACTGATGTTGAGACCTCTGCCTCAGTTCCTTCTTCCAGCTGGGAGAGCGGTCTAACTGGACCTACTGTATTTGGAGCAGGAAGCACAAAGCATAAGGCAGACACAGCTGGCACTAGGATAAAAAATTATTCAAGCTCAGCTATGTGCCCATGATTAAATATGTATGATATATAGTCACTACGTATCATATATATGCATACATATATTCACAAACTTCTCATAATTCAGATGCCAGGTACTGGGAGGTAACTTTTCTTTGTAAATCCACCCAGAATAACAAAGGTGGAAGCACCCTGAAAAGAGGTTTTTTGTGTACCCTGAAGGACACAAAAAGGGCCTGGCAGGCCTCTGCCACCACCTTCTGGCTCAGCTTTGCAACAGCCTGTGCTAGGGCTTTTTTTCCCTCCAGCATTAAGTCATATGCTTGACAGCATAGGGTTCTCCTAAGTTTTACAAAACGTTTAAATATATTTCTTTTCTTTGAGCTTGTGTAGCTTTCCTGAAATACATACACCATGCTGAATGTATACAGAGTCATCTTCTGTGATAGTAACACCAATGGCTGATTTAATACATCTTTGTTTTTCAGTTTGGCATTTATATAATCAAAGCCAGTAATGAGATTCTTGTTGCTGTTGTTTGTTTTCTTGTGTTTTTTAATCTGGACAAAAATAAATTAACTTGGAAAATCTGGTCCACAGATGCTTTTAAAAAATTTAGATTAACTATTTGCGTCTTTTCTGGCAAAAAAAATCCTGCAACAAAGGACCCAGTTATTGAAAGTTACCCGGGAGAGATTTTTAATTAACTAAATAAAAATGAGTGGGTATGAGATGCAGGATTATTCTGAAATTTTTATTGAAAAATGTCTTTATTGACTACAGTTAACTGTGTCCTGTTTAATGTTGTGTAATTTACTGTCCTCCCATGTGGGTTCAGCGTATTAAATTACCTTAATGATGATAACACACACACACCCCCCGCAAAGTCTACAAACCAAAATACCGTATCCGGACAGATTAGTTTCAGCCTGTGCAATTTTCTTTACAGTGCCTTCAAGGTTGCCAAGGTTATTATTTTTTCCATATAAAATAATACCGAAAGTGCAGAGCAATATTGTGAAATGAAGAGTTCCACTTTGTAAGACGTAAAAATGTACTAAATGGAATTGTGTGTCTCTCAAATACAAGTTGGGAATTCTATATCCTTTCAGTACCTTACCAGACTTCTGCTTGTGTTGTTTCAGAAATCAAAGAAGTGTAAGTCAGCAGAATCAGCCTCTCAGCCAGATACCGCTGCAGGTAATGTCACAGCTACTAATTATGTGTAGCCTTCTGAGTCATCAACCAGATCCATGTTTTCATTATTTTTGTCTTTCGTAGATTCTCCAGGTCCATCAAAGCCAAAGGATGGAAAGGATTCTATCAATTCCAGTTCTGGGGAAAAGAGGCAGATTATCTTCACCAAAAGTTCAGGTTGGTGTTTATTCTTTAATCTTAATGTGAATAAACAGCTCCGCTTTGAAAAATATTATAGGAGAGATCCTTCTCTGGCTACTTAGTACCACAGTTTTCAAAAGCTACCCTCTCACTTCCTTTTTTAATCTTTCTTAGTAATAAAAGGTCATCTCCTGTCTTTGAGGAAGCCATAGTGTCGTGGCTCACTGTTTGAAAGAACACCCTCTTTCAAAACTGTCCTAAAAGGCTGCTCTCCCAACTGGAGTAGGAAGCTGCCTCATGAACAGGGCACAAAGCCCCTTATTCAATAGAAACTATAGTCAATTGAATTTTTTCTTAATAGAGAGCTTTGTTTTACAATCTGCAAAATCTACAAAACTGACTCTGCAGAAAGTGTGCAAGGGCTTTTACTTACCCATTTTTCCTTTTCTTGCCCAGTTTGCCTTTGTCCCATTTGCTGTCCATCCTCCTGTACTTGGAGTGAATACTCCAGAGCAGGGACTGACTTCTTGTTATACTTCCACAAAATACCAAAAATAACAGAGTCCCTACTCACGCTTGTGACTGGCAAGTGCTGTAGTGTTGCAGAAAACTATTAAAATTAGTAAACACTTTTCACCACGTTGCATTTTTCTTTTTCTCTGTGGAACAACACAGATCTGCTTGTTTATGGCATTCCAGTATTGCTGTGCGTTAAGTTGGCAGGAACCAACTTGAGTGAATGAGATTAGAGATTCTTATTCACAGTGATATGGTCGAGGATTTGGTGTATCTCTTTTATTGGCTAGGAGATAACATAAGGAGAAATAGTAGTTGTTTTCCTGAAGTTAAATTGGTCAAAAAATCTGTTACAGCACTTTGTTTGCTCCTGGCTTGACTTTTAGTCCTTGATTTAGCTGCGAATTTGCTGTGTGTCACTGGGAGCAGTGGGATGTAACTTCAGACCATATTGATGTACCTACAGCAGTCATGCAGCTATGAGTAAACCTGACAGTCCTTTAGTCCAAAGGATGGTGCCCTCTCTTTATGTAATATATATTATTTAATGTCTCCAACTCATACCGATGTTTTCATACAGAACTATTATAAGAATGGGTACGTTTTTAAAGTCATTCTGAGGTTCCTGTGTGAAGTATTCAATCGTCTACATTACAGCCACAGAAAAAGTCAATATAATTTGTTTGAAGAATCTGAGAATAGTTAAATGAAAAGCTGTAGATAAACACTGTGAGAGACAGGGAGAATTTCCATCAGAAATGCTTCACCTGCCCCCTACTGTCTGTTTTTATAAAGGATAGACTTTTTAAAATATTTCATTCCAGATGATTATAATTATTCTTGGATGTTCAAGAAACTTAGTAATTCTAATAATATTTGATGTATTTTTCTTCTCCAAGAGTGTAAAAGAAAAAATGTGCCTTTTGAAATGTCAGGTCGTTGGTTTATGTTTCTGGCAGCAGTTATATTGACCAGCAAGAGATTAAGAGGAGAGAGGGAAAATAAAGGAAAATCCATGGACTGAGGAATGCCAGTAGCATAAGAATTAATTTGTGAACATGGCACCCTAAGGTTTCTGGACTTGCGGCGTACATATTCATTCTTCCAAATCCAGGGTTTGGTAATTCTTTCCAGACAACTATTGATGGCACTAAAAGCAGCATTCTCCAAATATAAAAAGAGTCTGATCTATGATGATTTAGGGTCGCCCATATAATTTCTCTGACTACATGCAGAAATCAGTTCAGGGCGTTTTCAGACAGGCTCCCTACTAACTATTTACATGCCATTGTGCCTAAGTTCAACTAAATATGTTGAGTTTCGGTAGACTTCTATGGATTCATTTCTTTACAGAAGAGACTTGCCACATGTTTTTTAAAATACTGTCCTTCAACTTTGGAGAAGAATAAATAGTTGTTATGAAAGAGGGACGGGTTGTAGCAGTAGGTATTATAAACTGAGAGAGATTGTATCAGAAACATAAGGACAGGCATTTTCCTATCCCAAATATAAAATGATGCAGACCATTGTTATTGGCCATAAATGACTTTGCAAAGAATAAAGGGAGGAGATAGATTCCCTGGGGACAGTGTGTCACAAGTTTAGCTTTTGTCATCTGATAGCTAATTTCTAAACAATACTTCAGGGTGGTGGAATACTTTCATGTTTTCTTTCTTAAGACTCGAATTCAGAGCCATTTTTCACTTAGAGGACCAAATGTTGTCAATACTGAATTACAGCACAAGGAGTTTACACAAGTAGGAAAGAATTCCTCTTTCTCCAAGGTTTCTAAATGCATTTTGAGCATAAATTCTAAACACTAGGAATGTGTTTGCTGTTAGGAATATGTTTGTTGTTGAGTACAATTACGGGATATATTTGTGATAGCCCTGAAAAAATGTATATATTTCATCTCTGTACACATTGGTTTTTAAATAAAGACAGAAAAAAGTATTTAAATACTTTTATCAGTTCGAAGCTGTTATGCATGCTTCATTCTGTTCCTTTTTCTCTATCAGATAATGGAAATGCATCTGTACCAGGAAAAGTCAATAAGGCGGCTTCTACTACTACGAAGAGATCCATTGCAGACAGCGAGGAGAAATCTGAGGCATACAAATCTATTTTTACATCACACAGCTCAGCAAAACGTTCAAAGGAAGAGTGTTCCAATTGGATTACTCACACAGCATACTATTTCTGAAACAATGAGGAGCCTGATTGTAAAATTCATTACTGCTTTCCTTCCCTAAGGCTTTTTCTGTATGACTTTGATACAGAACTTTTGTTGTAATCTGATGTTATCTGGTATTATTCAGTTTGTAAGTTGTTTATAAACTTGTGACATGCAACTTGGGTTAAATAAGAAATAGATCACCAGAATCCGTGTTGTATCAGCAGACCGCATTCTAAAATGATGGATTATTCGCCCAAAAATTTTTCTTTTCTTCTCCCAGTTGGATGCTGTCATTCTTAGTGACACTGGCCAGTGTCCTCAGTAGACGGAGCGAAGGTAGAAGGATCTGCCAACTGTCCTCTTCTACTGATATTTGCCACAACTGTCATTACAGTTTTCAATGTATTAGTACAGAAATTGAAACTTTTTTAAACTTCCTGACAGTAAAAAGAGCAATAATGCTTTTCTTTTCTACTAGCTGGCTCCACCCTCAGTAGAACTAGGTTCTGTAGGTGTTTTTGAGTAATTTACCTTTTGATAGAATATATGAAAGCATAATCTTGAAAATGTTTGTACAGCATTCTTACTGTTGTAGCCTATTTTTTAATAACAGGGTATTCACTTGTAAATCATTACCTATAAAGATGAGCCTGTAATAGTAAGGCTGGTTTTTTTTCCAAAAAGGTTTGGGGGGTCTTCTTTGGGGGTGGTGTTTAAGTTAGAAATATCAGGTCTGAGCTTTTGGTTTTTTTGTCAGAGGATCAGAATCCAATGGAACAAAAGTACGAGTTTCCTTTTCTGCTGAAAAAGTGAGGTTCTGTGTACATCTCTGAGGAGCACTTTGAATTCAGCAGCTTACATGAAAATACGAGCCTTTGCTCCAGTGGTGACTGGATAGGAGCAGGCAGATCTTAACTGGCTTTTTAGGGAGAAACACCTGGGCACCAGTGTCTTCTGAGTCAAACCCATTGGTGGCTGATGGGGGGAACCCTTTTCGGTGTCTGAGTTGGCTTCTGAGAACCTTCCTCTTTCACCCTGCAGGCAACTCAATGTGCTGTTGTCCCAGCATCTGCAGTATACGTTGCTTTATCTTCTGACATACCATTCTTAACAGCAAGCAGCTATCTGACTGTTAATTGCTTGTTATAGAAAGAGGCTAAACATAGTATGTCACTCAGATTTGCTTTTGTATTTCTGTTTTTTATCCCTGTGCCACTGATTTAAATAAAACTTGCTGTTGTCATACGATCATAACACTTCATGTTCAGTTGCCCAGATACACGAGGGCTTATTCTGTCAGTGCTGGAACAGAATGACTTTTTACGGGCTTTCCTTTGGACCTTTTGTTCTTAGCTTTTTTCCAAGCACAAGAATCTTTTTTAAATGTTAATGTTCCATAGCAGTGATTTAGTGGCTGAATATTTGAATCCAATAATATCTATGTGAAAAGACCAGAGGGAGGGATGGAAGCTTTTCACCTTCCCTTCTTCCTTTTTTAAAGTTAAAATATGCTTTTATAATCTTGGCACAAACTAAACAGAATAGAAATGCAGAAAGTAGGAGGCTTTTAAAACTACTGCATGATGTTACATTGTTACCTTTGTGTGTGAAAATGGTTAATTATCCTCATAATTTATTTTTAAAAGTGTCCCCGTTTATAATTGGCAATAGTTAATTGGAGATTCAGATGGTGTGTTTATATTTGCGTAGGTGGTCTCCATGATTCAAGTATGTTGAATGAAACTGCTAGGATTTTATTATTATTTTTATAGGTATAATTAAAAATTGGCTTGTTGTGGAATTTATATGGTGGTAAGCATTTTTGTTTTCCAAAGATGTGAATGCACATATACATCACATCAAACAGTTTGAGGTTTACTTGAACTTCCAGGAAGCACTCAGCCACGTTTTGTAGGCTTGTCTAGTGATCAGCTTTGTTCTCCCCATTCCGTATTCTTTTCCTCTTCATTATTATCCTTTATTATTTGTTAGTTACAGATAATTAAATTACTGCATTAAAAGATATACTACAGTAGGCCCTTTATTTTGCAGTCTAATTCTGTTTTGACAAGACATGTTAAACCCCTATTAGTATTTTATAGGAGTACGTTTTTCTTTTATTTAAATCAGTTATAAATCCTAAGGGGAATTCACTTAATGCTTTTGGTTTAGCTATTACTTTGCTAAAGAATATGAGGAACATAATAAGCCGTTTTGCTTTCCTTTTCTTCATAATACGTTAGACCAAGTCCAGCCTGTGGAGTTAGTAACGGGCTTCCCTCCTCACTGGGGCATAATGGTGACTTCTTTTTTTTCCATCTGACCTGCTCATCTGTTAAAATAAATTCATTACAGCTATGATTTGGTTAACGTATGGATTCTCCATATACACTTGGGTTTATTGTCTGGAATTGATAGTTTGTGCTGTGCCACTTAGCTAGCACTGTGTTTGGTAGTTTACTATCCTGACTTTGTAGATGGAGTTCTTAATATGTTTATGGTTTATAGAAATGTTGTCAGTGACTGATGAGGTCTTTTCCTTCCCTTTACAAAAAACAGCTGTGAAGGAATGTGATATATTGTTGGCATGTGATGCAATTCATCGCCACAATTGACTTTTGTTAATGTAAAATAGAGGAGCAAAAAACTGACACTTCTGTTGTTGGCAGGCTGGGTTAGGCAGTTGAGACTGGAACGTTGACTTGGCAAGTTTTAATAGATTCAAGCAAATAGTTTGCTGGAGGATGTTTGCTTTGTTGTGGTTTGCTTTTTGTGGGGGAGGGCAATTTAATTTTCTTTTAATGTAGGTGAATTTGAATGTTGGTGAAAGTTGAAGACTGCAGAAGTCTTAGAATCTGAAACCTATATTTTTTAAGATGCCACATAAGTCTCCCACAGCATTTCATCCATGTGTCTCTGTTCTGGGGAGTTCACAGAACAGTTAGTTTTGTTTCCATGATGTTCAAGCCTTGGCCCCTCTTCTGAAGAGCTTAAAAAAGGATCCAATTTGTGTCAGTTGCATAATAGGGGGATTTTTTTTGTGATGTGGAACCTGCCCACTGGGAAATTCAACAACTTCCTTCATATAGCACAGTAATCAAACGCTGGTCGTGAAACCTGACCCAGATACGCACTAGTGAAAAGGGGGAAGGACTTGGGGGTGTTGGTGGATGAAGAGCTGGACGTGAGCCGACAGTGTGTGCTCACAGCCCAGAAGGCCACCCGCATCCTGGGCTGCGTCCCCAGCAGCGTGGCCAGCAGGGTGAGGGAGGTGATGCTGCCCCGAGACCACCCTGCAGTGCTGCCTTCAGCTCTGGGGTCCTTGGCATGGAAGAAGAAGAAGAGGCACGGACCTGTTGGAATGACTCCAGAGGAGGCTTGGCACAGAAGAGACACGGACCTGTTGGAATGACTCCAGAGGAGGCCACAAAGGTGATCAGATGCTGGAGCCTCTCTGCTGTGAGGACAGGCTGAGAGAGCTGGGGTTGTTCAGCCTGGAGAAGAGAAGACTCTGGGGAGACCTTATTGTGGCCTTTCAATACTTAAAGGGGACCTACAGGAAAGATGGTGAGGGGTCTGGAGAATAAGTCTTATGAGGAGAGGCTGAGGGAACTGGGGTTATTCAGCCTGGAGAAGAGGAGGCTGAGGGGAGACCTTATTGCTCTCTACAACTCCCTGAAAGGAGGGTGTAGAGAGATGGGGGTCGGTCTCTTTTCTCAAGTCACAGGCGACAGGACAAGAGGAAATGGCCTCAAGTTGCACCAGGGGAGGTTCAGGCTGGATATTAGGAAAAATTTTTTCACTGAAAGGGTTCTCAGGCATTGGAATGGGCTGCCCAGGGAGGTGGTTGAGGCACCATCCCTGGAGGTGTTCAAAAGACGGGTTGATGTAGTGCTGGGAGGTATGGTTTAGTGATGATGCTCCTTGTTTGTTGTGTGGGTGTCTATTTTTGTCAGTCAGGTTGACGGTTGGACAAGATGATCTTTAAGGTCCCTTCCAACCTAGAAGATTCTGTGATGGGAACACACTTTTCAGTAGGGCCTGCTGTGATAGGACAAGGGGTAATCACTTTTAGTTTAAAGAGGGAAGATTTAGACTAGATATAAGGAAGATTTTTTTTACAACGAGGGTGATGAAACTCTGGCCCAGGCTGCCCAGAGAGGTGGTGGATGCCCCAACCCTGAAAACCTTCAAGCTCGGGTTGGATCTGGTTGCTCTGAGCAACCTGATCTGGTTGAAGATGTCCCTGCTCATGGCAGGGGGATGGACTAGATGGCCTATAAAGTCACCTAGTCCCACCACCTGTGGTTCTGTAACTATAAAGCTATATATCCTCACTTACCCCCTGTGACCTGCCTGTCTCTCCGCACACTCGCCGAGCGCTCAGGCCTTTCCATGTTGGTACCTTGAAAGCTGAAAACCTGAGGGTGTTCACACATCCAGGCTCAGCAGAGATCAGCCTGGGATGGGTGTTCAGTGCTCCAGCTTGATTCCCTACTCAGACCAAATCGGATGTGATATTTCATGCTGTTTCATAGAATAAACTACTGTAACTTGTTTCCTGTAAACTACCTTTCCCCGTTGTCCCTGATGATCCATGACAGCTCCTGTAGCCTCAGATGCTGTGGGGCAGCTCTTACACCCAGCTGCAGCTCATGAACCAGCTTGTGCTCACCTGTCCCGTGTGTTGATCTGCGACGAGGAGCAGAGGTGGCTTTTTGTCTTCATGGAGGACAGTGAACCCCGCACGCCTGGGACCTCGCAGGCCTGACATCCTGGAGCTGACAAAGGTGGGTTTGGGGTGGATGGCTCTTTCCTGGCTCCCACACACTGCAGTACAAGGATACTTTCCTCTTCACACCTGAACCTCCAGTACCTCCATCCTTTGCACATTGTTGTTGCAGGTCTTCTCTCCCCAGCCATCTTTTTCCTCAAGACCTCTAGCGTGTCTTCGAGGCTTTTACATCCCTGTGAATCTTAATTGTAATTTAACAGTGATTTATGATGTTGCCGATACAAGTGAGGGTGTAGCAGCCCTGAATCTCTAGAAAATTAGACTAAAATCCTTCAGAAAAGAAGCAACACCCCCAAGAGCTGCGGGGAAGGTAGAGTTGAAGAGGAGGAGTGTGTAGTATCTGTTCTGGAAAGACTGGAATTTAGTGTCATCCTGCTGATAAACCCCTGTCGTTAGTGAATAGTAAGCTTCAAGGGACAGAGTTCATTCTGTAAGGATATGTTACATTTTATTTCCCTTGACGAGTTTTTTAGAAGTAATTGTAGAACTATCTTCTCTCTAATGGGAATAAAGTGTGAGACGTACAGTGGGAAGATGCGTGGGGTTTGCTGGGATGGTTGGGAGATTTTATTGGAATCTCGGAACTTCTCTGCTTCAGTCTCCAACCTCCATGCCATGAGATCATCACATGCCTGCCAAATTGACCAAAGAAAGCTTAAAGTTCCCTTTAAAACACGATGCTAGTTAGATTAAAATATTTCTTATTCATGTCCTATTCTTAGCGAAACTGAACGAACACAATTGTCTTTGAGTGTCCCGTCTTGCTTGCTTTGCAGCCGAGACGCCAGTTGCAGTTGGTATATTTTGCTCAAGATTCAGAACTGTGGTGACCCTGCCAAATAGTTTCTTAGTTGCATTTAAAAATAAAAGGGCTGTTTATACATTACAATCCACAGAGGGTCTGAAATCAGTGTGTCCTAAGATGAATACAAATCATAGACAAAAAGTGTTTTGTTGGAGGGCTTCACAAATATGGAACTGATTACTGCTAGACAGCGCAGATTTCCTTCTGTAAGATGGAACTGATATAATTCCTTCCTGACAGCTAGAAATTATAATTGAGTTGGGGTTTTTTTTTTCTGTGTTTTAAACTTTACCAACTTTCAAAATGAGCAAGGGGGATGGAATCCTAATCCATCTGCAATTGATGGGAATTGGGCCTGTAAACCAGGATTTTAATCTAAATATCCATCCAACTGCCCAGTTAGCGTGGAGGTACTGCTAACAATTTCATAGCTGTGGTTTTGTCAAGCATTTAACTTCATGTGGATTAAAATATCTCTAACAGGTCAGTGACAGAATTCAATTTGCAAATTGACTACAGATCTTTTGGGGGGAAGAACCGATTTCACTATGACATTGAGTAAAACGAAATTCTCTTTTTAAAATGTTGCCCTACCAGCTCTTTGTAACGCATCCAGCAGAACCCGACTTCTGTGTAGTATTTGTGACATCTCTAAGAGGTTTTCTCAAAAGTTAAGTGTGTGAGTTGGTGAAAAACACCCTCTTTCCCTTGTAGAAGCATTCGTCTGTCAGATCACACCTCTTCTCTTTTCACCCAGTTTTTCCCTTGTTCCTTCTCATTTGACTCCTTCATTTCTGCTGCTCACAGGAATGAGACAGGGCTTTGCTTGATGATGATCAGGAGAGCGGGGAGCAGGGAATGATGAAGGTGATGGATGCTCTGGTTGTGCAGCCCTGTTTGCTCTTTGGGGCTGATTTGCATTTGTTCTGCAGCCAGACGGGCTCCTCGCCCGGCTGAGCTTTCTCCAGCTTCCAGGCCACGTCCTCAACTTGGTGGCCGTTTGAGTTGGGATCAGCCCGTAGGTTGTCACTGTAGGGATCACCTCTCACTCCCTGTGTGGCAGTTTTTAAGTTTTTAAAGTGCAGAGTTGTATCCACAGGGGAGAACATCAAGATGTCAGATGTTCAGTCTCTTTCCTCTCCCTGTTACTGGTAAGAAGGTGTTTCCCTCTTCCTTCTGTGATCTTGGATGGGTGTCCAATCTTT